TCCTTTTCACACTAGTCAAGCTCAGAAAAATAAGCTGCATACCAAACACTCTTTGAAGAAGTAAATCCTGTTAAATAGACACTTTATAAAATAGTTAAGTTTCTAGTTGTTGTCTAATTATGTCTTTTTAAATGCTTGCTTTTTTTACTTCTGAATGCTAGACTTGTATTATTCATCTTCATGGGGCAGAGAGGGGGAAGGAGGGGGGCTTAGCTCATTGTGTCCTTAAGCTGCTCCTGTCAGGTGCTCATGCCAACCTCTTAGGCAGCCAAGAAAATTCTATCTGGGCTGAGATGCTTGGGCAACAGCTTGCAAGGTATTCAGTCCAAACGGCAGGGTACCACATCCTCCCACTCTTCTATACCTTGGAATTAATTATTGGAGCCTAGCTGCTAAGAAAATAATAGTTGAGTCATAAGCTGAAACAAGAGCTTGGAAGAGACCTAGGTCTGGCTTCAGTATGGTTTAGATGTTACTGTTTTACAAAATTCATAGCAGCCTACATTTCCCATGGAATTCAATTAAACTTTTTTTTTTTTAGTAATTTTTGTATTAGTTCAACAACCTGCTAACCAATTGTTCTTATGCGATAATGTTTTATGTAATTGGTCCAAATAATTAAGCCATTTTCTTGAATCTCAAAAATATGGTACAACTGCAGCAAAATAATTTCTCATGATAGAAGTCATTACTCGGTTTTCTGGGTTTTCGTATTTATTTGAAACTTCTGTATGCCACTTCTCATTTAAAAACAAACCAAGCCCCCCCCTCCCTTTGATGTGATTTTGGATAAACTCCAACAATTCAAATATGTTAAAAATAACTGCAAATATATACTAAAATATTATATTAAACATATAAAAGAAAAGTAGTGAAAATAATAAAATAATAACTAAGCAGAGTAAAAACATCAGTAAGATAGTAAGGCTCTAATGCTGGGAAAGAGATGAGGAGCTCAACCAGCAGCAAGATGGCTGAACTCAGTTACAAGGGCAATGAATGCACCATTGAGAGATTTGAAAGAACAGATTAGGGATAGATCTTCATGGATCTATCTGTATGGTTTCTAGATGTCAAAAGTAAAAAAAACAACAGTGACACATAAATTGAGGAAGTTAAAATGTCACACAGCACTAAAACATTATTCGAAAGCCTGAAAAACTAAATGTTCCTTTGCCTGACACTGAAAAGAGAGAGTTCTAGGGCGTAACCTGCTTGGAATGGTATTCCTTAAAGCAGGGGTCCCCAACCCCCGGTCCGTGGACCCCCTTAAAGCAGGGGTCCCCAACCCCTGGTCCAGGCCACAGCATGCCAGCAACCGGGCCGCACAAATAAGCAAAGCCCCATCCGCGGGATGCAGGCAGCACACAAAACCACACACCCCTCTGTCCGCGGAAAAAAATCTCTCCATGGAACCGGTCCCTGGTGCCCAAAAGGTTGGGGACCTCTGCCTTAAAGTAAGGCTTTATAGGTTAAAACCAGCACCTTGCCTTGGGATTGAAACCAGACTGGGAGATAGTGAAGATCACATAGAGATTGCCTGGCACATTCATACTGGTTCCAGACAGTATTGTAGCCTAAATAGAATAGCCATGGATATTACGATAACAGTATTCCAATATCTAATTGGAATGCCATAGAGAAGAAGGGGCCAACCTATTCTGAAGGCAGAACAAGAAGCAATAGATGGAAACTAATCAAGGCGAGCACCAACCTAGAACTAAGGAGAAATTTCCTGACAGAACAATTAATCAGTGGAACAACCTGCCTCCAGAAGTTGTGGTTTCTCCAATACTGGAGGTTTTTAAGAAGAGATTGGACAACCATTTGTCTGAAATGGTATACGGTCTCCTGCTTGAGCAGGGGGTTGGACTAGAAGACCTCCAAGGTCCCTTCCAACTCTGTTATTCTATTATTTATTTCTCTAGAAATCAGCTAGAGGGGATGTTGCTGAATATCTCCCTTGGACATGTCAACCCCTATTAATTTGTGCACTGTTTATGATACTTAGGTAGGAAACCCATTCTCTTCTGTTTTTGAGTGTCATGATCTATGCTTCCCTCCTCTTCCCTGTTGCTTCCCTGGTTTGTTTGTTTGTTCATTCTTCATTGTGAATTATCTATCTGCTAATCAGCGTGACTGTTTATGTCTGGGCTTCTGAAAAGAAGTATTTGTTCTGATGATCCTGAATCTCAAAGCAGATTTGTATCTGTTATCCATTTTCTTTTTCCCTGCCCTCCCCTTGGCCACACTCTGGGGGAAAATATTTTCATGATTTTGAAAAGCGTCATGTTTTTAGGGAATGGAGACAAGACAAAACAAGATTCTGGTGTGTAAAATCAAAGGTTTTTTTTAAGAATAATTTGTTCATGGATTTATTCCTCTCGCTCTCTCCTGACACACTCATTTATTCTGATCAAAAAAGCTGTTAAGTCTGTCTTCAGTATTCTTGATATTCTTGGTGTAGCCCAGCTTTTATTTACATAGCTGAAAGTGATTCAGCTGTTTCGAATTTGCTTTCCTGACAGGCTGAAAAGAATGTACTTGTGGTTTCATTTGTTCTGAGATCTAGTACTTTGTACTTTCACAGTTAACTCTTCTCCCTAATATTCTGTTTTCCAACTTTATGTTGTGCTTGAACCTGCAGTTTGTCTCCGGGCCTAGAGTCAAGGCTTGGATTTGGTGGACAGTGGGTGTTGTTGATTAAGAGCAGAGTGTCCTCTCACTTGCAGATGGAAACAGTGTCTGAGGCAGGCATCTGGGATGAAGCAAAAACAGCTTCCTATCAGAAGACATGTCTGGGCACAGGTGGTGCCAGTGCTTCATTTTAGAGATTAAACATAGCCTGTTTATAAAACAATCTTGTGTTTCTCTGGGATACAGCCAGCCTTGGTGTGCTTCTGATTTCTGTCACTGGCACATTGTGCTACTTGGACAAATGTCACTGGAATCAATGTACTTTCTTTCCATTGACGTGTTGAGAATTTTTAATTGCTGTAGAAAGCTAGAATTGCATTGATCTTCTTCTCCCACCTTCCTTTCTATCTTACGAAAAGCAGCAACAGCAAGAACGAAGCCTTTCTTTCATGTCGATAGACTTATAATAAAGGGGATCTCTGTATTGATAACAGACATCCTCACTAAACTATAAATTAGAACATAATGGTTTGATTTAATGGGTCCTTGGTGCTCTCTGAGCTTGCTTGTTTTCTTGCAAAGATTTCATTACCTAACTAGGTAAATATCATCAGTGCTTATCACTAGCACTGATGATGTTACCTAGTTAGGGTAATGAAACCTTTGCAAGAAAACAAGCAAGCTCAGAGAGCACCACAGGACCCCTCATTTCAATTCTGAGCTACAAATATTCTCCTTCATTGGTTTGATTTAAACTCCTGGAAATTATACCTCTAATTAATTATGCTGGCCCTGTTCATATAGTTTTGTATCAGTGCACAATCAACGTGTTGATTCTTACAGATCAAGTGATAATTCAAGTATTAAAGCGGAATTGTGGGTACTAGTCAAGGTTCTTATTTTGCTCACAGTTTTCAGCCTTGTGCTTAGTTTTTGTTTGACAACTGTAAAATGAAACTGAAAACTGACTGCCTAACAGCCTTAACATGATTTGCCCATTGCCTGTCATAAGAATGTGGTGTGCGATAACCCCCAAACTGAAAATTAACTCTGCAGTTAGGGAAAGATGAGACAGTTCTCTTATGAACAGAGTTTGACTGGTATTTGGCAGAATGATCTATGTTGCCAATAAGATCTGGCCTGGAGTGTGCCATTTGTATTCAGATTTGATCCTTAATTTTATGATAATTTTGTTTTTCCTTCCCAACAATTTTATTTCTCAGTGATTGGTTAAATTGTAAATTTTTAGTTGTGAGTACAGTGAGAATAAAAAATTGTGGTAATTTGTTTATTTATTTGCAAAATTTCAAAATGATACCTGGCAGATCACAGTGAAAAAAACATGTTTTTAATCTCTTGAAAGGAAATATGAGCAAATAGGATGGGGCAGTTCTCCTTACAGGAGATGGTCTTGGACATAGCTAGAAGGCAAGCCATGAAGAGCTTTATAGATGAGTATTTGGTAATAGATTATAGATGGATAGTAAACTCCTTAGGTTACCAATAATAATAATAATAATAATAATAATAATAATAATAATAATAATAATAATAATAATAATAATAATAATAATAATAATAATAATAATAATAATAATAATAATAATAATAATAATGGTTCCGTCCCAGGCGACTGATGGACCCTGAGAGGTTCCTGACGGAGCTTGGGCCTTATCCGGAGGATCTGGTCCACGACTCGGCGGAAAATCAGGCGGCGGCTTGGGAGACAACTGCCGCCGCAGCATTGGACCGAGTCGTGCTTTTGCGGCCTCTGACCCGACGTGGATCTCGATTGGCTCCCTGGTTTACCGAGGAGCTGAGAGAGATGAAACGTCGGAAAAGATGCCTAGAGAGCTGATGGAGGGCCAGCCGAACCGAATCCGACCGAACACGGGTTAGGATACATGTTAGATCCTACCTAGTGGCGATGAGGGTGGCTAGGACTAACTACTATTCCTCGCTCATCGCGTCATCAGATAATCGCCCGGCTGCCCTCTTCAGGGTGACCCGCTCTCTCCTCCAACTGAGGGGAGGGGGGATCCCCTGGAGGGGAGGGC